TGCAAAGTTCTGACTTTCTGGCCGACCTTCAGGAGGGACAGTACCCGACCGGCATGTCTGTCATGGTCGGTCTTCATCATATCCCGCCTTCGCTGGAGCTGGTCGTGGACATCGCCCATCTGTCTGTCATGATCATGGCGACCTGGAAGGGTTGTCTTCATTTGCCTCCCAAACATCATTTCGGCAGGAGATGGCAGGTCCGATTGAGGCGTTGCTCGAAGGTGGAGAAGTGCCTTTTGGACATCTTGTCCTGTCTGTTTGCACTTCTTAATCACCGACTTTATGGTGCGTACCATCCGCTCAGCTAGGCCATTGGAGCGCGGATATCTCGGCGATGAGGTGGTGTGCTTGATGTTCCACGACTCACACATGTCTTTGAAAGCTTTTCCAATGAACTGGGGTCCGTTATCAGATATAACTTCGGAGGGCACTCCCAGGAGGCTGAAGGTTTCTTTCATTACGGTAGCAACTGAAGCACTTGTGGTGCTGTGCATTTTCCTGATCACAGGGAACTTGGAATGATAGTCAGTAATGAGTAAGTATTCAGTTCCATCAAGAAAAAACAGGTCTGTGGCTACCTTTGTCCATGGCGTCATTGGAACTTCGTGCGGTTGTAGTGGTTCCCTTTGTTGCCGATCCTGGTTCTCCTGGCAAGCAGGGCAAGTCTTGACAAGGTTTTCAATATCCTTATTGATGCCTGGCCAGTATACCGTGTCCCTTGCTAGTCTACGAGTTCTCTCTATACCCATATGACTCGTGTGTAGCTGCTCCAGGATGTCTGATTGCAGCGTTGAAGGTATCAACACCTGTCTTCCTTTGAAGATAATGCCGTTGGCGACACCCAGTTCCTCTCGGTATGACCAGTGAATCCTTGAGCTGCTTGGAACCTGCTTAATCACGTCTGGCCATCCATCGTGAATAATTCTACTCAGCTGCTTCAAGTTTGGATCGCTTGCTGTCTCTCTCTGCAGCTGTGTCTGCTTCATAGGTGTGAAGCTTGCCAGATCATTGTCATGATTCTCTTCTAATTCCATGACTTCATCTACATGGAGCTCAACGATGACGTCTCCTCTCTTTCTGGGGTTTGGCAACCTACTGAGTGTGTCTGGTAATGTCATCTGACTTCCGGGCTTGTATAGGATATCACAATCATAGCCCTGTATTTTGACGAGAAGCCTCTGTAATCTTGGAGGCGCACTCCCCAGGGGCTTTCTACAGATCGTTTCGAGTGGTTTGTGGTCAGTGTAGACTGTGAACTGGTTACCAAACAGATATGAATGGAAACGTGTGATCCCAAAAACAAGTGCCAATGTCTCTCGCTCGATGTTTGAGTAGTTTGATTGTGCATCTGACAAACTCTTTGAGGCGAATGCGACTGGTCTTTCATTCTGAAGGAGGCAGGCTCCAAGTCCTTTGAGCGATGCATCTACCTCTAGTACTGTTGGGACACTGGGGTTATAGTACCGTAGACACTTTCCTTCTGAAATTTCTGATTTCAATCGTTGAAAGCATTCCTCATGGTCCTCCTGCCAGGTAAAAGGAACATCTTTCCTCAGAAGATCACGCAGTATTGCTGACTTTTCAGCATAGTTTGAGATGTATGGTGATAAATAGGTCATCATCCCTAACACTCGCTGGAGATCGTCCTTGTTCTGTGGTGTAGGCATTTCTCTGACATCCTCCAACTTGCTAGGATCTGGTTGTATGCCTTTGTCTGTGTACAGTGAACCAAAGAAATTGATGCTTCTCGCCTTGATCACACACTTTGTACTGTTGAACACCAGACCTTCTTTTTGTGCAACTCCCATCAGTCTCCAGAGATTATCATCATGCTCCTGTTCAGTCTTGCCAAATACAGCTATGTCGTCAGCTATACCTTCACAGCCTGGCGCCTGTGCAAGGATTGTGTCCATCCTTTGTTGAAAGATGTCTTGACTCACCGAAAGTCCAAATGGAAGTCTGCGAAAGCAATACCTTCCAAATGGTGATCTGAATGTAGTAAGCTCCTGCGATTCTTCGTCCAGGTGGACTGACCAATATCCTGCCTTTGCGTCCAATTTCGAGAAGTACTTGGCCTGTGAGAATGCAGGATTGAGCTCCTCTAGAGTTGGAATCTTGTGAGGGCATCTTTTCAGGTTTTGATTGAGCCTTTTGGGGTCAAGGCAGACTCGCAATGACCCATCCTTCTTCAGGGCTGTGGTGAGGGAACTGCACCAATCTGTGTGATGAGTAACTTTCCTAATGATGCCGTTACTTTCCATCTGATCCAGCTCTTTCTTGAGCTTGTCCCTCAGGTGGATGCTGCATTTTCGAGGCGCATCAATTGATGGAGTTGCATCCTTCTTCAAGTGCAACGTTGCCTTGCCACTGAAGTTCCCAATCTGGTCAAACTGGTCTGGGTAAGCCGCCTGTAGGTCTTTAGCTGACCTGATGGGAGGAAGATCATTTGGACTGTCCAGGCCCATCTGTTGTTCTACTGTGTGAATCGTAACAATCCCTAGCTTTCTGGAAGTAGGAACTCCGACAATGACTGGTCCCTTTACGTCCGCAACATACCATGTTTGGTCTACGACCCAAGGCGACCCTTCATACATCATCGACATCATCAAGGTGCCTAAGCAGCGTAAAGGCGTTTCTCCGTAGGCAGATAGTCGCGTAGTAGTGGGACGGATAACATCTTTCCATCGAGCCCTGTACATGTCCTTCAGCGTCCGCAGTGGCAGAACATTACCGCTGGCTCCTGTGTCAACCTTTGCATTGAGGCGATGATGACCCCTCAGGTCTGGACATATGATGTTGATACTCGCATATGCTTCGGTCTCCTCCGAGTCAATAGAGTTTAGCGATATATGTATCATGTGGAATTCACGTTCCCCACTGTCCGGTTGGTTTGTGTCGTCCGGTCCAATTTCGTCAACTTTACGCTGGTTCCTGCTATGAAAGGAACCAGAGCTACCAGTGCTACCAGTGCTTCTAGATAAGCTCTCTCATCTCCAATGAGCGCATATCCTCTCACAAGTTCCAAGGGCTGGCCTTTGAGGTACTTCTGCAAGTAGAAGAAACGATCCATAGGCTGTATACCGCTTTGTTCAATGAGAACATCAAATGCATGCTTCCATGCTGGGTAAGTCAATGGATCTCCTGCAAAGATTGCTGGTTCTGGTAAAGGAAGCCTCGTCATCCTCATCTGTTCAACCAGAAATCTCATCGTCTCAGCTTGAACGTTCTGCACACTGTCTAACTTAGGTTGACTAACTTGACTTACTGCTTCAACTTCTTCCTGGATGTCGTTCACCTGGATGTCGTTCACCCAATCCTGGCAATCCTGTAGCTCCTGCGGTTCAACAGGAAGAGACTTCTTCGACTTCTTAGATGAAGTTCGAGATGAGGGTCTAAGGGCTATCAATACATCAAGAGTCTGTTTCATGATGTTGTTGTGTGCTGTTTCAACCTCATCTAGCTTGTCATCACTGTTGTCTTCAACTTTCGCAGTTGCTCTAAGTGCAGCCAACTCTTCTTGGGTGTTTATCAGTTTGTCTATAGTACTTTGTAGAGCATCTCTGGTCTCCTGTACTGTCGACGCTTCGCTTTCATCACCAAGTAAAACTCGCAACTTGTTTGCGGTTCTATTCCAGGACTTAATGCAGCTGTCAAACTCTTTGGATTTAATTTCCACTTGCCATTGTAGTCCTTTCTCTGTGGGCTTGGGTTCACGATGGGGTCTACTTTCACCTTCAGTGTCAGCCATGATGTAATAGCTCTCTTTCAGTTGTCGTGGAGACGTCTAGACGTAAATGAAGTTTTTACTGTAGCGGAAGCATCTTTGACTTTGTTTATTGGTCTTTCTTTATTATTCCAATTCTCTTGTTGCTCCTAATGCTCCGTAAAAACTGCACAAATGAAAATAGATCGAACGGATCATAAATCAACTGTTCATAAATATACATATTATGCCTAGAGAAAACCTGGTGACTTGTATCAATAATATGCACCTTACAGCTAATTAACCCCTTGTTTGAACCTTTTCCTTATCTCACACATTAACTTGTACTGCATATAAACTAAATACAATTCTAACTGTTTGTTACTACCAGTACATGTATGCTTAATTGAACTAAGTCAGGCTTTCTGACATACATCCTTTGTATCACTTCTATTCATAATTACAGCATGTATCTTTATAACTAAACCATCTATTAATTATCAATATAAACTTGTATAAATCATATAACAACTTTCTCATATTATGCACCCTAAGTACTCATCTTAGTACATTGACTCAAACTAGGCAAATCTTTGTTTACATTCTTGCATACGTGTACCTTTCATTCGCATGCCGTAGTGTACATTACATAACAATAACATTCGGTATGTGAGCCGACCGTCTCGGCTACTGTGCAATGTAAGTTACATCCATGTAATGTACACAACGAGTTAGGTGCGAATGAAAGGTACTTAATCATAGAATATCGCATCATTACAGCATTTATATACAACATTCATCACATTGCATCATTACATACCTTCATTCTGCCTTCTTAAAGTGCATCAAACTTCCATACTACACAAGGATGCCTCCAATATCAACGGATTTCATCCACTGGAAATCAAAAAGGGTGCCATTTCTTTACACGAATTTAGTAGCCTCCAGATGGCGCTAAACATAAATATAATCAATCTACTTGATCGACTTAATAAATGAATTCACATCGATCACTGAAACACTTATAATATCTTCTTAGAGTCAGAATGAAGTTAACTCAATTGATTCTGATAGTAATCACCCTTCTGGTTCTTTGCAGGTGATAATTCAATATTTGCTCCATCTTTGTAGTGAGAGTGAGAATATTTTGGCTTTCATGTCGCTAATGTTGCTGCCATCAAAATGTACATCAACTGTTTATACTTTCTGATGTATTGTGTATAGGACTATATATACACAAGGTTCTGAATCCTTATCCAGATTGTGAATCTTGGATGATATGTTTGTCACTGTACAGGTGCTGGACTACCTTGCTATTGGGATCCATGAGCTGGCCAGTATCAGTGAACGTCGCATTGAGCGACTCGTCAACCCGCGTAAGCTTTATCTCCCATCCTTTCTTTTCTTTAATTACAAGAATTTTTTCAAGAGATACGATTGAGACACCACAGGATATCAAGGTTTTGAAAGAAATTGTGTGGATATGAGATTTTAAAAAAATATTATATATACTCTAGAAACTTCTTGTCTTTTGGCTAGATGGACAGGAGAGATACATCTATATGTCTATTTTTAATTGTTGTAAATACCCTCAATTCATGATATATTTTTGACTAAATATTGAGAATTACTAAATTTTGCAATGGAATTTATAGAACTGGTCTATTTTATGTTGTATATTGTTAGGCTGGTTTAGAGTAGGAATTGAAATCTCAGATAGATTTTCTTTCAAGTCTAGTTTGATGCATGATATATCAATGCAAGCTAGAAAGATATCCAAGTCATTGACCTTTTTACATTTTATTTTTCTTTCCCCTTTTAAATCCAACAGTCTTTTTCAGGACTATACCCACATGAAAAAATGCAAACCTAATACATGGCACATTTTTCCTTTTTTTTTAAAAACAAATTAGTTCTGTTGACAGGCTAAAAATATGATCATGGAAAACATCTTTTTTTATTTGTATTTGATAGATCTGAGTGAGCTGCCAGCTTTCTTGACCAAAGAAGCCGGTCTGAATTCAGGCTTCATGATTGCACACTGCACAGCTGCAGCCTTGGGTGAGTCAGTCCTGCCTTGTCATTTTAATATCTTTTTTTGTTGTTGTCAATTAACTCAAAATATGTTTTATTAAATGTTGATTTATGGCAACTGTGCGCCAGAAAGGTTCTATGCATATTCACTTACCTCTGTATAAAATAATAAACAAATGTCAAGAGTATTAACTTTTTATCATCATAAAAAAGAACTGCCACGGTTTACCACCTCATATCTGAATGAGACTTAAGAGAAATATCTCTTGACTTTGGCGAATAACCGGGTGGGGGTGGAGGGGGGTCACGTACAAGCCTCCCAATATGAAATATATAAGTGCAGGGCGTGGGGCAGTTACAATCCCTTCCAATTGACGAGCTAAATATTCTTTAGGCTTTAATGTGTAATTATGCCATTTTGGTGGGTTTTTTTGGAGAGGGGGGGGGGGGAGGGTTTGTGCCCCATGCCTCCTGGATATACCACTGCCTGCATTGTGATCATATTGTATTTATCATGTTTTTAATTTTGTTTCTTTCATCAGTATCCGAGAACAAGGTGTTGACTCACCCCAGCTCTGTAGATTCTCTGTCGACCAGCGCTGCCCAAGAGGACCATGTCTCTATGGGAGGCTTTGCTGCCAGAAAGTGTCTCGAGGTGGTGGAGCATGTCGAACAAGGTATACAATTTGATCATTTTCTGCATTTTTTCTTCTGGTAAAAATTTGAACTGATGTTAGAGAATCTAGAAGAGCATGAAATATGTTTTTCCTCTAAAAGTACTAATGTCAGGAAATTGGAGATAACTTGATGTGTTCCTTTTTTAGATTATCAACATTTTAAAGAATTCTATTTGTTAATTTTGATGTAAAAACAACAACAAACAAATAAACATACAAATAAAAAATGAAACAAGTTTTTTGTTGCTTGACAAGCTTGCTTTTAGCATGAAACAGTCCATATTTCTAGGCAAACTGAGTATACAGTGTGATCAAATTTTGAACAAACTTAATTGATCTCTACACTGTAAGTGCCTGTTGGGAAGACTTAGACCTGAACATTTTATTATTAACTTGTGTGCGAATGCAGTGATCTAAAGGATATTTGTTTCTCTCATCCTCCTAGTGCTTGCCATAGAGCTGATGTGTGCCTGTCAAGGTATAGAATTCCTGCGTCCTCTGACCAGCACCAAGCCTCTGGAGGCTGTCCACAAGCTCGTTAGGAGCGTTGTCCCGTAAGTATCCTACACGATTCACAATCTAAGGCTTCATACATGAAACATGGAGCGAAAGTCACGTTAAAAACTCACATGCAATTCCTAAATACATGTCCATGCTTCAGGCTGGTTACATGTCATTTTCCCTAAGTGAAAAACTTTAGCAGGAGTGATGCCTCAGTTTCCTTTTTTTTGCCAGGTATAAAAAGTTGTATTTGATTTACTTGAGTTTCATTTATTACCAGGAAGATGCAACCGAGTGATCAAACCTAATGATTCTATGTCATATTTAGAAACCAATCAGTAAGTGCTATGACCTGGTATTCTGATTTTGAATTCTGCATCCTTTTCTCGAGGAAATATTGAGATGCATGAAGGTTATCAGCTCTAAATTTCTTTAATTTGTTTAATTACTATTAGCTTCAATTTTTATTCAAGTGACTATTGGTTTCTTTCATACATATAAATTTGAATTGTCATTCATATAATTATGACTAGAATTCCATATTTATTTCATTTTCAAATGGCTTACATTCATGAATTCTCTCTCTTTCTCTCTCTTTCTCTGTCTCTCCCTCTCTCTTGTTCTCTCTCTCTCACTGTTTGTGTGTCTGTCTGTCTCTCTCTCTCTCTCTTGCTACATCTACCCCCTCTCTCCCTCTCTCATCTCTCTCTCAGAGCTCTAGAGCGTGATCGTCATCTCAGCCCTGACATGGAAGCCATCACCAAGCTACTTCAAGAGAATAAGGTAAGACTGATAACTGTTTGCGGTTTGTCAGTTTCTTATTCATATGTTGTGTGATAAATTGTGAGATACTTTGGGATGCCATGTGTGATATATTTATATTTAGTGATATATTGTGGTATAGTTGTAAGATATATTCTGGTATATTGTGAGATATATTCTGTTATATTATGTGATATATCATGATATGTTATATGGCACTGGTATACTGCGTGACGTATTCTGACAATCTGATAGTCTGCATACTAACTTAGGAAGAATAAAGTTAAGGTAATTACTCATTTAAAATTTGATTTTCACATTTCATGTGACTTAATTAATTGTTAATACCCAAGAAGTACATAAACAAGACAAATTTTCTCTATGCTATTTTCTTTTCCTGAGTCATTTCATTTGCAATTGTAACATTTAATAGGAGACATCTGTTCCACGGTAAGATTTGTTTTACATGTACTTCAATGTCATATTTTTTTAGATGACTTGGCCTTTAAGTTTGTCTTTTTTCCCTATTTGCTAGGTTTGGGAGGTGGTCAAGCCATACATGGACATCTACGAGTCGGAACAGCTGAAGGAGACTAAAGTCCACTCCCCAACGTCCAGCGTCCTGGGAACGACCACTCGCTCCAACAAACGCAAGCGGACCAAGAGTATGAACAAGGCAGAAAAGGTCTGAAAGAGTTAGGAAAATATCATGCCGTGGGTGAAATAGCATTTTTAATATACTTTCATATTCAAAATTCATGTGAGGGAGTACAGCGTGCTACCAAAGAAATTTATGTCGATTTTTTTCTCCTATTGTCAAATTGCGATACTAAAATGTGAAAGAATAGAATTTATTTTAGTGAGATGTGAACACATAAAATGAAATAATTGTCATTTGTGCACTTGAGAATATCATTCAACCTAATCATGTGATTAATGACCTACCATGTGTTCTTTATTTTGAAACATTTGAAAATGAACATTGTTGTGACAATTCTTTTCTTCACCATGTTAATAAAAAAAAGGCTGAAAAACAAGGGTATTAAAAGCTGAAATATGTTGGCAAGTCTGTATTCACGTATGGCACATTAATGTTATTAGATTGTTGTTCTTTTATGGCTGAATTTATTCATGTTAATATACATGTATATATTTACTATTTACACCTTCATTTAACAAAAAAGCCTAATTAATCCACTATACAGCAATATTTGATTGCTTCTCCATTTTGCTGTTCATAAAAAATATATTTCTTCTTTTATGTTGTACATGTTTTACCTTAAATTTTAATCTGTCATGTGACTTGTCACTCCTTTTTATTTGAATGCAAGAACAATGATTACACACATTCATTTGAAAACGTGCTAAATTAATCCAATATTAATACATATACTCCAATATTAATACAGATATCGAGTGCTCCTGAATTCAATATAACAGAATGTATGCACTGACAAATTCAAAATTTCCCAGGTGACGATATATTTCACTGAGGTCGACATCTGTAAATCTGTAATTGCTGGAGGGAAAATGTGTATTTGGTGGTAAATACGTGTTATATTAATTGTTTATAACAAACATTCAGTTTTTGTTATATGAAATAAAGGGCATTTGCGATTTCATACCTCGTTTTTTCATGAGTTGTGACTACCTCTTGATTAGTTTCATGTAGCCTTACACACTGAATGCACATGATTGAGCACATATAATAAAATGTGTGTCATGTGATAGCTTCTCAGCCAATGGGATGCTCTTTAACAAATACCCTTTTTTATTTGTACATTGTTCAATTTACGTTTTTATCATTCTGGTATTCTGTATTTGAAATATGAGCTTAAATATGTCGCACTGAAATTTCATTGTATTCAAGGTTGGTTAAAGCTTTCTGTAAATATATCAGTCAATGCCCAGTGCATATAGTTATCTGCAGTGACTTTTAATTAAGTTAGAGCTTACGTATAGAATGTTCCAAATTTGCTCTTCATGCTTTTCCTTTTTTTAATGTTTCATGTTAGCCTATTTAGCATGATTTCTAAAGACGTACATTTTGTTAATAATTGCTCTCCACATGAAGAATATTAAGGTGAAGAGAAATGTTCTATTTTAATTGTGTTGCTAAGAAATTGTTGAGTTATTATTCTTGAACTACGAGTTCTTAAATTTGTAGAAAGATATTGCTTTTATTAGTAAGCAAGCTCGAGAGAGAATTTGTTTTTATAGCTATTTAAGGTCAAATGGACATACATGTATCAGGCATGCACATATTACTAGAAATTAGAAGAACATGATAATAGATCTTTTTCATTAGTAATCAAGTTTGAGCGATTTAAAGAATGGAGTTCAGTCCATTTCATTTGAGATTTTATATGGCATCTGTGTATTACAAGAAGAAAAAAAAAGACTTAGAGAAGGTAGTTTTGTCTTTACTGAAATAAATAATCTTCATGAAGCTTTCAAAATCTTTCTTCACTGAAATTTTGTAAATAACTGTATAGGAGATATCAACATTGCATTGCTGTTTTCATTATAACTTTGGCTGTAGAGTGATTGGTTTGTTAAAAAATATCAGAGCATTAATTGCATTTAAGATAAATGCATGTAGATATATGCATTTTTCTGAGTCATCACATTCCTGATGTATTGTAAGTTTTGAGGATCTGTATTCCCTGTGAATATTCATGACTACCGAACCATGATATCAATCATTGGATCAATAACAAAAGTAGAATTGCTTTTTAATAACATTCTGTTCTCATTGGTCAAACCTATGGAATAATTATGGAATAGAAAAAAAATCAGTCAATGCTTTCCAATAGTATTTTTTTTAAATGACGAATGCTGCAAATGATGAATTGTGATTTGTATTCAAGAAATATGTATTCCAGACTTATTCCAAACAGTGCCTTTCTTATTTTGCTTTGTGTGAAATATATTCTGCCAACTTTTGAAACATGATACTCTTGAGGTTTTCTTTGATGTATTGTGTGCACCCATTTTAAGGTGAAAAAAAAGTGCCATTATCAATGTTCATCAAAGGCCTTACACATCAACACCCATTTTCATCCACTGAATTCCAAGTGGAAAGAGACAGTACATAGACACTATGTAGGTTTCCTCCCAGAACCATTAATTACAAACTATTTCATTCACCTGCTTATCCCAGAACCACTGTTTCTCCTAAAACCCTTTGTCACAAAACATTTCATTCACCTGTTCATCCCTTCAAAACTCAAGCTGGCATTCATGATTATAAACAATTATCCAGTTTGGTTGGTGCAACTCCTTGGTCCGAATTCACAAAGGAGGTTTGTCGACAAACCTTTTGTTTCGTCAAACCTCCTTTTGTTTTTTACAAACCAGGTTTGTAAAAACCGCGTCAAAACGCGTCATATCGGACATACGAAAACCTGGTTTGTCGACAAACCTTCCTTTCTGAATTTGGGCCCTTGTGTCTGCCATTACTTCATGGGAAGGGAAATCTTCAAACCTAAGGACTTTCAAACAGACTTCTAAATGTGATAAACTGTGTAAAGCTGATGACATTAAAGCTTCCATGTTTTTCCAGATCCTTAATTCAGGTTCATTTCTTGTACCAAAATGGAATAGTCATAATTACCAAAAACAAAAGAAACCATAACAATGCCAATACTATTTGTCACTGTTTAATCATAAAGTAGAAGACACAGCAAAGAAAAAGGATCAAGACTACGGTACACTGTATATGGCATTCACTAACATTTCAGTGGAAGTACAAGAAGCTTGCACGTATATGTAAGTACACTTCTCAATATTTCAGTCAAAGATCATACATAAAAACCTCTCCTCTCATTTGAATATCATCAAGAGCAGAAATGAATGTCGGCAGTATTATGTTTCCTCAATAACAGCACACTACTTAAACAGCCTTTGGTCAAATATAAGAGACAAGATAAGTTTCCATTTAAAAAAACATTGCATTGAAAAATAGAGCTGAATACGAATATTAGAGTATTACTGTCGAGGCTCTCTCACTGATTGATTTGATAAAAATAATCTTATCATATAAGAAAGAAAAAAAATATATACACCTTGAAGGCACTTCCCCCAAGAAAGGGCAGTAATATTCATATATTTCAGCTTTCTTGATGCCATGCCTAAAGCATTCTACATGGTGGTTTCAATGAATCGAAGTGGAAGATATTTGATAATTGATCATGTAACAATACAGACAACTTTCATCAGTAAATATTGATCTAAAACTATCATGATCACCAAATTACAGAGTTTTTATTCTGTACTAATAATGTATATGCACAAAAACCATGTGGTGTTGTATGTAAGCAACATGCCATTATCATGATTATGTACATATCTATAGTGTAGTGTAGGGATGAAGTATATACACATCTATACATAAATCAACAGTGTTGTAGATATTGGAAGACACATCAAATTTCAGAAATGATTGTTTTTGTTCACTTTGGAAGGCTATTGCATGTTACTGAACATGAACTGAAAACTGGCTTATTAAATGAAATATAATCTTTCATTTGATATCAGCCTTTAATATTCAGCCTGTGGTGTATGGCAACTTCTAACATACTAATAAGTTAGAATTTGCTTAATAAACCAATTTTTTGATTTTTTTAAAGAAACACAATCATTATTCAATATTCCTATCACACAAACAATATAAAAATGTGATTGTTCGTACACACATAATTCAAAATAATTAAGAACCTATTTGATTGAAATGTGATTATGATTGAAAAAAATATGATTGAAAAACATGTGCAAATTTAGAAATTTACTCACATGACAAAGATATATTCTTTAAAAAAAACACAGCAAAAACAGCCTCACATTTTATTAAAACAGTTCCTTCAATAAATGTTATAATATACTACGCTATGTACCGGTATACTTAACTTGAATGGAAAAAATGAATGGCACATAAGTTAATAATCCACTTAACAAAATCTGAATAAAAAATTGTGATTGTTGATTGATGCACACAATAAGGCACATAGTATTAACATGATATATTGCCAAAGTAGTTTAATACTGTTTGGCTAGCTATCTTTTTAGTCTAAGAGGAATGATTGGAATGAGACACCAATTAATAAGCCTTGAAGAGAAACGAACATTAGCTACAAACTTAAAATCTACATACATTTGCCTGTGTAGTTTGTGTTAGATCTAGCTACAAGGGATCTTTTAGTCCCTCAAAACCTGGACACAGAAAATTGATGAGGATGAATCTGGTTTTGAAACTACATAAAGGCACACTAGTTGGAAATAATAAGACTTCACCTGTTTATTGCCAAGAGGGCAATACACAGGTGAGTCCCAAAGGACCTGGACCTCATGGGATCTTCTAATCCCCTAGGACCCGATCCAGGAGTCCCGGGTCCTGGACCTCATGTGGGACTGTAACCTTGAGGTTGGGATCATCATCCATGGCTCTGCAGATGGTCTCCTTAGCCTTGCTGTTACCAGCCCAGCTCCTACGGGTCACCTGTGAAGAGAATTAAACCACACTTGATGTTGAAAAGTATTTGAAAATTTAAGCAAATACTGAGGAAATCATCAGAATAGCTAACATCTCAAAATATTGATACATGAATAACTGTTTAAAAATTATTTAACAAAAGAGAAAAAAAAGAAGATATCTGCTCTTTATTTGTATTATCGTATAAATCATAAATGTAAGGGTCTTTTTGACAATGTCCAGGTTAAAGTACTATAATCTTCATCCATCAATTTTTTTTTTAGGAATTGATGGTTGGTTTTCACTTTACCAAATGATTACCAAAGATCTGACACACATTATGTATCACTGACATACACATGTTATTCAAGATATTCATTTTGTGGTTTATAGCACAAGACATTCTCTTTTTCATCTTACATCGCCGTTCATCAACAAGTAAGTACACTTCAATCATCATCATCTCTTAAGTCAGTACACCCTGCTCCTGTCAGCCTTGTTGGTCTCATCAAGAACCATTCAAAATCAGCTGTTAATACCTTTCCCAAGCCTACAGTCCCTGTTGGACTTACCCCGTTGGACACATCCCATCCAAGCATCTTCTTAGCCCTCCTATCAGCCTTGTTGGTTTCATCTAGTACCATGAAAAACCATCCACTGACCCCTTCCCCCCCCCCCCATTGTCTATGGTTACCAAGGAGGCACTGTAGAAGAAATCAGCATGAACTTACGCCATTGGACACAACCTAACCGAGCATCGTCATATCTCTTGTGGCGGCCTCATTGGTCTCATCAAGGACCATCCCAAACTCTGTTGATACCTTTCCCCTACCCACACTGTCCCTGTTGACTATGACTACCAAGGAGGCCCTACAGAAGGAATCAATGAGGACTTACCCCATTGGACACATCCCAACCAAGCATCTTCTTAGCCCTCCTGTCAGCCTCATTGGTCCCATCTAGAACCATACCAAATCCTCCGTTAATGACCTCTCCCCAGCCAACACCACCCCCGTTGTGTATAGCGACCCAGGTGGCCCCACGGAAGGAATCACCAATCACATTCTGTATGGCCATGTCTAGAAATGAAAAATGAAGATCAACATATTATGGGCTACTAAGTTCGCTGATTAATGCACATGCTTATTTCTCATTCTACTTTCATTGAAAATACCTTAACAGTTGTAGTCAAGAGAAAATATTTATAAGTATTCACTCTCTTCAATTAACCCTGAATGGATACTTTTCACTACCACAATAACCTATTAGTATTCCAAAGTTATAGGGCAACAGTCAAAAACCCCTTGCCCATCCTCCAAATCCTACCTCCCTCCTCTTCCTCCTCCTTACCCTCCCTCTTCCACCCTATTTTCCTTTTCCTCCTATCCTCCCATATCCCTTCCCCTCCCAGCCCTCCCTATCCCCTTCCCCCTCTCATCCTTCTCCCCTCTGATTTTCATAAGACCTCTGACCTGCACAGAATGCTGAGCCATCATAGATGTTGGAGGTCTCTCTGAAGGGGCTATCCGTCCCACTAACATCATGATGGTCCCTGCTGATGATGACTGGTCCCTTCAGCTTGCCCTCACGCACCGCCTCGTTGAAGGCAAGAGCTATGGCAATGCGCCCTCGCTGGTCAGAGTACAAGATCCTGGCCTGCGAGCCCACCACCTAGTCACATGACAGAAGAGATACATCATGGGATCATTACATTAATGAGTGATGTTCAAGTTATAATTGATTTGCATAATAAAAAATACAATGTAGATGGTTTTCAAAGTCCTCAAATTTGATCATGGGCATCTAAAGTTAATTTCTTACACCACTAGTAATTACCGTAATGCTTTCTTTTCAAATAAAGCACACCTTACTATCTTTTTTGTTATACTTTAAAAGAAAATTGTGATGAAGATTTGATATCATATGTTTTATCATTGCTACACAATATTATATGATCAATCAAAATTCAATTTGTTCCACCAACTTGGTATCCAAGTTTCAAAACTACTTCCTATCGATTGGAGTCACGATGACTGAGCGCATGCATGTGGACTTACCATCTTGTGTTTCTCTGCTTCTTTGATCCAGCGTATGTTGTCCTCATACTGCTGCTCTGTCGACTCTGGCACTGTCAAGGCAAGGCAGTTAAAAACATTCAAAATGTATTACAAACTTGAAGACAATTTAGATAATCAAACTGGGATTTAAGATAATATTTGCTTTACTTGGACCTCTTTAATAATTATGTATACAAGCTTCAACCGCAAATTAAATACAAATATCTTTATGGATCAAGTTTTAATTCATAAATTAAGACATCAAAGCAATCAATATTTGCTGTTAGGCAGCTCCTTTGCACAATCATCACTTATTATTTCCTTGCAATCTATAGCTGCCCAAAGAATTAAAACTGAAAGGAGGAGAAATGTGAACCTACAAAAAAGGAAATTAACCATATCTCTTGAAATAGAAGAACAGCAAATTGAAAAGGGAGGGAAGTCAATGGATTGACAAAGCAACAGCCTACATGTGCTCTGATGATAATTGCTTGCTGATTAGTTTTCCACACAAACTGAATCTTTAAATTCAATCATAGACCAAATATTTCAAGTCAATCAAAGCCTAACCCCAAACCTACTTGAAAAACTATTGCAACCCTTACAATAACGTATACAGTAAATGCTACACCTAAACCTAGCATAAAACCAAACTACAACAAAACACTGACCCTATTAAGCCTAGAGTAATTAAAACCACTGCAAACATCAGGTCATCAACAAGGTACACTGTACAAAGATACAGTAATTGAAGCAAAAGGAAGGGTATGTACCTCCAGCATTGATGAAGTCTTCTAGGACGTTAGCAGCAATCTCATCAGTCATGGCCAGGTCATTGGAGTCTCCAGATGAACAGACCCACCGGAATGGACCAAAGCCAAGGGAGAAGATATCACTACGGTTCAAACACAGAATCATAAATTAATAGCTATGGTAAGGCTAAAAACTTACAATCATCGGGTTAACTAAATTCTGCGATGTGGTTGCAGATGTATTGGAAATCATACCTCGGACTAGCCATCAAAAAAAACTTTCTTTTATTCCTCTAGAACTACAATGTATGAAACCTTGAAAGATTTTTAAAATCCCATGTCAACTCTATGGCTTAAAACAATATTGACTATAAAGCCGAATACCAAATGTGATTTATAAAATTTAATTAATCATCTTTAAATTTCATTCCCTACAATATTCAATGATTTGTAAATCTTTCAAAGTAAAGCAATCTTACATACAATTGTTTTATATAGCAAACAAAAATCCAATAATATATTGCTCAATGCGCTGCGCATCGTAAATCAATGCTAAACAAACAAACAACAACATAAGAAAAAGTAGTACAAACAAACATTCAGTTATTGAAGAGCAGTGTCTTTAAATTCTTCCTAAAAAGAGTCTATTGATATGCAAATGTGGACAAAAAAAAGGAGCATGTCCATATTTTGGGGCTGTAATGAGGGAAATTACACTCTTCTTATTTTGAGTTATAGCCTAAATCACTGTTTAATATGCGAACTTTTGTTGAGGAATTTGCGAGAAACAACCAAACTACAAGCTCACCCCATGATGTCCTGAACATATGAGGGATACTTGAATCTGTTGCCTGCACAAGCTCCTCCTGATCCACCTTGTACATCCGCTCCTAAACAGACACAATATGCACAGGATAATGTTATTTACATAGCATCCGGTTTGCTCACAAAAGTGCACATGTATAAACATATCTACCTATACCTTGGAAGTAGGCATTTAAAGTTAAAAACTTATTTGCCTCTCGTTGATATTAGGATGAAGAATCCATATTGGGACACATATTTAGTGGCGCTGTACAGCAGTTAACGAATATGGACAAGCAAAAGACTCTTCTGGGTCAAATTGATCTTTTCTTTAAGACCAAAATTTAGACAAATATCAGTTTGATGGTCAAATCTATGGTGTTAGATTTGTAATATCCAATCTATTGTGATCCATTTCAAGTGCAAAATCGTTTTTTTTTTTTTAATTTGATAGATATATTTGGATTTATAAGCTAATCACAAAGGCTACAGAAAGAGACAGGAAAACGACTTAGGAAGAGTGAAAGGATTGGCTATATAACTGGTGGTGAAAGACAGAATATAATAAATGACAGAGAGAGATAAATAGATACAGAGAATAGAGGAAATGTCATACATACCAGCCCTGCTTGATTCAAGGAGAAAAGCATTCCCATAGTCAAAGAAATACAATCCCACTTCTGATAACTTATTGATGGCTGCGATCTGTCTCCGCAAACTAGAAAAAGTAAGGGGCATATGTCAAGTAAAAAAGAATGCAGTGAAATGCTCATATAAATATGGACAATGCAAAAAAGTTCATAGTATGAAAGTTTTCTTCCCTCAAGCATGTAACAAAATTTTCTTTTAACTATTACAATGAATCTAAATGAACAACCAGACATCCCCATACTGTATAAATCTTATGTATATTTTTTCTTTCCTAATAATAATAATAATATTAATATTAACAGTACTTATAAAGCACTTACCACCAAAGTCTCTAAGCACAAAACAATTGTTTTACAACTAATAAACAGCTACATTTAAATAGTGAATTTGATACTCCCCCCCCCCCCCCCAACAACAACAACAAAATTGTTGAGCACAATGTGTATACACATATTTCTATACACAAATTCTAATATACTCTTTAGAAGTTTAAAACAAAACAATTAAAGAGTTAATATGTCCTACCTTTCCTGGACCAGATTCTTGAATCTGACGGGGTCACTGACCATCATGTCATTGGCCTGGTCAAAGGTCAATTGTACAGGATAGTAGCCTCCGTTGAATGGGTTATGACAAGAGGTCTGATCAGAGCCAAGATCAGCCAAGAGTTCCCCAGTAGATTCATACTCCACCGCCAGTCTCTCCCTGTTATATGGAACATAGATGGAGGCAGCGTTATCTCAAAATCATGAAACAAATCATCCATTCTGCACAGTAGTATTTCCTTTTATCAGATGCATCAAGGACTTCTTTCTAATAGACTTTGCACACAAAAGCGGGGATGAATAATGAATCAGTGGTTAATAGTCAACAATCTTAATGACAGGTTCAGTTTTTTAACTATAGCTTTGTAGATTATTGGCAGGAAGTCTGAAGCTTTGGATACTAATTAAATGAGAATTTGATGACACATTTACAGATGCATTCAAAATTATGGGGGATGTGTCTTCAGGTGTACTCGGTAACAACCTACATGTGTACAGTATCTTCATAGATGATTCCCACCATTATATACATTGGTGGGTGAAATGTTGGACAATTCTGGCAGGATTTCAGATTGACAATAGAAAGGTTTGTTTGAAAAGTACATGAATGCATACAAAAATATTTAAAAAAACAATTGATATTGCCATACTCACCAAACATCAACAATATTTCCATGGTAACCAATGCTCACTGCTTCCTGAGCATTCCGTGCTTGTCTGTCAACAAAAGAACAAGAATAGGTAGGTATGCCATTTTGGTAAAGCATTGAAATATGTATGCACATTTCTTTTGGAATTGCTATGGTTTATAAAATACAAACCCTCTTTACTTTTGTAAAGATACAAAAGAGATATATAACAGTTGATGACTCCACTTTCATGTACTTTGTATTGATATGCATTTGTGATAAGAAATACCTTGTTCACATAATCAATTATCTGCCTATGCTGTAGAGAGTAAGAATAGTCATTTATTATCAATAACACATACTTTTGATATCATAACACATGCAATTATACCATACAGCATAGGATTCACCTACCATGAAAATAGAATCTCATCCACTAAATACAAAGTATCCTATTATAACTCTGCCTTAAGTCGAGCTACCATGAGGTGCTCAAGCATTCAAGAAATGTCTTCCTACCAGGTAGCCATTTACCTCACCTGGGTGGAGAGTGGCAAATGTAGATAAGTGTCTTGCTAGAGGACGTTAGTGATAAGACAGGGATTCGAGCTATACCATGTTATCAACAATCTGATTTTTATTCCCAAGTCCACAACATCTCTAATTCAATTGGTTTTAATGAAAAAGTTAAAAATATAGACTCTCTCACATAATGACAATTATCTTGACATTTAAAAACCATTCTGTTTTATTACCTGATGCTTTGAATAAGAGCATCGACGTCATCAACGACTTGCATCACCCACCTGAAAAACAATAAAACAAACATTGATACATGACAAACGTGGTAGAATTATCACATGAAATATAAGCAGTACTCACTAGGGCCCTGTCTAAATAAGAGTTACCATTAATCCAGACTGATCGAATATCCTCCATTCAATCACGGACTTAACAAACTTCCATCTCTTTATCACAGAGTTATGATTGACATCAAGTTGTTAATAATTTGATGTGGGTTATTTTGAATTAACATCCATACACAGCATTTCAATGTTGTTCCAATTTGTAATTACAAGCACAAACTGTCCTACAGTGCATGTATGTAACAGTCAGTCAATAAACATTGGCAGATCAGGGCATATTTTTGATAACTGATTCAGGTCACTGGCACCAGTGTATGAGGTTTCCCCCATCAGTTTATTTTCTTAGAATATTCACCAAGGTCTTCCCAAATTTGCTAAGGTCATCTTGAATAAATACAGAGCAATAATCCAATTAATTGGAAATTTCTAGTGAAAAAAAGGGGGGTTGAAGACTGACCCCTGGTTGTATCTCTTCATCAGAGCATCCTTGCTGACCTCTGCTACCACCCCTACACAGCCGCAGATGACCGCTGCCTTGGCCTGGGCACCACTCATGCCCCCTAGGCCAGAGGTCACAAAGACACGACCTCTCAGGTCACTCGTACCAATGTGCTTCCGACTGGCATTCAGCACCGTCAGCTAAAATTGAAAGGGGGGGGGAGAAGATATGGTATTAAAATCAAACTTTCAGTTAGTACTTAGTCTAATGAAATAAATAGTGCTTTAATTACGAGGCGATATATCGTAGGCAGATTGCAATTGGGAGAGGGTGGTGAGGACCAGCATGTACACAAAATATTGACCCTAATCCCCCCCCCCCCCCAGCACACACATAAAAATATAAGGTATCAATCTCAGCCTAACTTCTAAGGTTTACGTTTCAAGTCTGCTAAACATCTGAACTGATGATAAAGTCGCATTAAGCATTTCTCTGTTTATTTTTTTCTTAGAATTGTACCAGTACTTCAAAAAGGAAATTATTTCCATTACAACATATCAAAGAATAATTGAATTGATGAAATCATTTTGTCATTTCATTTCGGTTCATCAACTTTCTTCCATAGACTCTTTTATTTTCATCTGATTTCAGTTTCACATGATAAGCTAAAGACTTTGACTGTATCTTCATATACAGAGTAGTAAGTCATCATAGGAAGGATCAACTAAAACAGTTAATGGTTTTAGTGATACATCACTAACACCATTGATCCATACACAAACTAGATGGAACTTCAACTGCGCGCAGTCGAAATGATGCCTCCGTCATAGAGCAATTTTACAAACAAAAACAGAAGAAATTTTTCAAATTCAAGTTCAATTGTAATCCATTAACAGTTTCTCAGAATATCGTGATTACAAGCAATTTCTCATATACATATATGACCCTTTGATCTTTGACCTCATGACCCTAACATCTACTCAGTTCATTGGCTCTACAAGATGTCCCGAGTTAAATAGTAATCCATTTGTCAGTTCTAATGAGAATGCGTTCACGAGCTATTTTTGCATACATAATGAGCCGCATGACCTTTGACCTTGACCTTATGACCCCAAAATCTAATCAGTTCATCGGCTCTGCAAGTAACATACATGACCTAATTTTGGCAGGAATCCATCAATCGGTTCTTCAGATAACGCGATCACGAGCTGTTTTTGCATACATAATGAGCCCTGTGACCTTTGACCTTTAAACTCGTGACCCCAAAATCTAATCAGTTCATCAGCTCTGCAAGATACATACATGACCAAAGTTTGGCAGGAATCCATCAATCGGTTCTTCAGATAACGCGATCACGAGCTGTTTTTGCATACATAATGAGCCCTGTGACCTTTGACCTTTGAACTCGTGACCCCAAAATCTAATCAGTTCATCGGCTCTGCAAGATACATACATGACCAAAGTTTGGCAGGAATCCATCAATCGGTTCTTCAGATAACGCGATCACGAGAACGGGACGTACGGACGTACGGACGGACGGACGGACAACCCGAAAACATAATGCCTCCGGCTACTTCGTAACGGAGGCATAAAAATATCAGCAATTATACCGTCACAGAAAATATTGCACATGAAGAGGCTGATACGAAATGAATTGGCTCAAAGTATTTACTCTCTGACCAGAATAGAAAGGAACTAGCACATACCGTTGTTCCATGAACGATTCCTTGTGGGCCAATATAGCAGTAGCTCCCGGCTGTCATCTGTCCATACCTAAATGTACAAAAACATGGAGAATAATAAGATTTGCTCCTCAAGTCTAACCCTTTCTGGGCCTAGTTTATAGCTCAGTCATACCACCAAACCAACTCCACATCGACTGGTTCTTGGTCATTCATTCATTGGAATGTTAATTTTGTTTGGAGAGTCGTCAGTCTGGCATTGGTCTCATTGGTGTGACCGAGGTATTATTCTTCACACACTTCAAATTTTCTGGATTATCCAGTGCTTTTTGTGTGTCTGTCTGTCTCTCTATCTTGGTGTTTGTCTCCCTTGCTGTGACAGACCATGATCTGTCATATTAACAGATACACTAGTTGAACTGTAAAATTGGTCTGTCATAACAAAAACACATTCTGTTTTCCAAAACTTCCAATACTGATTAGAAAAGAATGCAGACCAAGGACACTCTCTTGAAAAGAAAAAACAAAATAAGAAAACTAAATATAGGTCTATTATCAGTTGCCATAATGATTTTTTATTCAATTCTACATATTCCTATATTACCCTTTGGGTGTAAAAATTCAATGAGACATACATTCTAGTCTAGTTATGATAATGATCAAAACTCTTTTTTCATGTCTGCAAGGGATTAGGGAAATCCATCTACAAATTTTGCAACCCTTGCAACTGCAGTTTTGAAAACAATCTAAATAAAGCCTGTAGCTATCTGCTTCTTCACAACCATGACATTAAAATCAAAGAGAATATTGGCAAAAGGCACTTACATAGTCACTCCCATTGCAAAGAGTCTGTTGTAATTCTCCCTCGTTGAATAATTGGGTACCATCTGTAAATAAGAAGATCACGGTCAGTATCTAAATTCAATCAATGATTTTACCACCAAGCGCTGTCTCATAAACTTTAAGAAGTGATGATGATATAAATCAACCACTTATCCTCAAAACCATCACAAACTTATAGTCTCCTCACTCTCTTGTTTAAAGCTGTGACTGATGTAAATTTCATAGTAAATTATTATTGATTCTGATATATCTCAACTTCTTATAAGACAGGACTCTCAAAAATAATAATAATAATAAAACGGTGCTTAAAAAGTGGTATGGAAGGAAGGCTTAATAATTTTTTACAAAACATTTATCCTCGTTGAGCTCAAACCCATTTTCATTTTTCGTAGATACTAACCAAACCCCAGTAAAAAACTGATTTTGCTATATTTCATTTAAATCCATTCTTTAAATGCCAACATATCTAAATACAAATTATACATATGATTCACAGCAAGAGGAACATAATATTCCTCACAAATGCAGCAAAAGCTCAACAAATTCATTATTTGGACAATTCTTTTTGACATAAGATAAAATATATTAGAGACCAACCTGTTACTTTTGGGGTCAAAGAAATACAATGATTTTTCCCTGATTGGAGTGATTTTTCTGATTTAATTTCCCTGACCTTTCCTTGACAAGAAGAAAAGTAACCCTGAATACAAGCCCTGAACTGACCATGCCATTGGCGACAACTACTCTGGGTGCTTCCCGATGACTTGGAAAGAGACCAGAAGGATGCCCTGAAGACATGACTAAAGTCTGTTCCTCACTCATCTGAGCTAAGTAGTACATCACCAACCAGAACTGCAGAATGGACCAAAAAGAAATGACTAAAATCTTTGACTAAATGATACATTATTTCTATGCCACATGCTTCTGCAACAATTTCACTTCAATTCTTTGCCTACACTTACAAATGCTCCACTTCAAGCGTGGACCAAACACTATACTAAACCCCAACCCTAGCCTAGAGTGAACCTAAATCCCAATCGCCACCCTAACCCTTATCTTTGCTGAAATAGAATGCGCAGCAAATGTGATTATGTCACCAAGGCAATGTTTGCTTATCGTCTTTCTATCATTTTGCCCAAATCAAGAGTTTATGAGCCAATAAACCTATAATAGACCAGGAAAGTTGACTGCTAGTTCAGATGAATGAGTTGAGGAGTATCCATTATATGTTTCACACCATCATCATCCCCAGATCAAAACAATAATCACATTAAGAACATGTTTATTTGGGTATGTTTTCATTATTCCTACAGTTTCTTTATCATGAAACAGTTCTATCTGGAACTTCATAATAAATCAATTCTGTAACAAGATTGTTCATGCATATGACTGGAAGTTATTCAGTGCACATTGAAATTATTGTGAAGTTATCACCTCACCTGAGCCCAGTTGGAAAACACTTGTCCATTGCCTCCATATGTCACCAATTCATGTGGAAACTGCACAGAATAAATAGTAACATTAAAAAAAAAAGATAAGTATGAAAAGCAAATTTTGAATAATACAATAGGTTATCAATGGTAGTATTTCAATAGATGGAGTAAGATTTCAGAAATATGTTTGTGGCTTTGTCTGTTAACCCTCAGGTAAGATTTGGGTCATCTAGAACATTTTTAACAAAACAAGTATGCATAAAATAAGTACACATTAATAAACTAGTCTCCTTGGTAAATTTATTATTTGAAACATGTAAGGTTATCAACGCTGGACTCAACCACAGAATACACCACAGAGATCCAATGGCACTTGTCCCATCCACACCTGTAGTCATTTGGGGGTGATCTTTAGAACCTCCCCTTTCGAGAGATCTCATTGCCATTACAGCCCACATATCATAGTACACATATTCTACATTCATACAAAGCCCCATACTCTAGTTTATACATGAAAGGTGACCAATGTTAAACCATTTCCGTGGTGCTGGCACCATCTGGTGGAAGTGACCGTTCTCGTGACCGTTCTCGTGACCGTTCTTATTACAGCTAGGAGAAAGGTTTATCAAGCACGCACTAGCTATCTCTTTTGAAGCAGCCCTATAGCAGCAGTTACTCCAGGGGTCAGACAGTGTGGATCACTGTAGTCCTCTGTTGGGCTGACTCAAATGATATTCACATATATTCTAACATTAAAGAGAGCGCAACCTTGAGAAAGCGAACAGGGCGACTGTTATATACCATAACATGTTGGATACCTGTTGAATTTTGGAATAAAGCGCATTTCCAACCGACTCCACCCCAAGTTATCTCTGGCTTGATATTTAAAGGATCACAGAGAAGAACTAAATATTGTGGTTATACCTGAGCAACGTGTGGGTCTAGGTTATTCATTATCATCAGCATGATGGCAGCAGCCTGACGTGAGTTCGCAGGATACTCGTCTATCGGGTAAGCTCTTGTAAACAATAAATGAACAAAACATGTCAGGCAGTTTGAGATTATGTCAAGACAACTCCAGGTTATTTGTTCCTTTTGGTGTTCCATACATTACCAAGTATTGCAGAGGTTTGATCATTGACACAAGATGTGTCTTTTCAATTCATATTTGGTCTGATAAAAGCTCTAGGAGGTGCGATGGCTCAGTGGTAGATCAATGGTCTTGTAACTGGGAGGTTCCAGGTTTGAAACCAAAGGGATGGGCTGGTGCCCTTACATGTAAGTCACTATGAACATGACAGACAAAGAAAGCAGATAAAATATACAGTTCCTCAATTATGTAAAAATGTGTAGTACAGGTGAATATGCATGTGACACCTGTTCTACACATTTGTACATAATAGCAGTGAAGGGATGTTCCTTTGTCTACCTGAGGAACTGTATATTTTGTCCGCTTTCTTTGTCGGTCATGTTCATAGTGAGTGGGAATTAATCCTATTTACCAAGTCCCTTGGAGATGACTTTAATTAAGGCGTCAGTCCCCTGGTTGCTTACTTACAAGTATACACATCTTAGCAGTCAGGTAAAAGTTATTAAAAAAAGAAAATTTAGTAGGGCTATGAGTTTTGTGATATATGGAACAATAACTTGGAATTGCCCTCAACTGAGTTACTTCTCAGACTGCAATACCAAGTATTACTAGTTACCTGTACGGTTTACACGTAATTTAAAATACTTCATACAGTTATCAATATGGGACTGCATGAACTGTGTGAAATTATTTATTCTTTATTACATTTTATATTATGGCTCAGGGTCAAACATACAGAAAGGAACAAATAAAATAAGAAATATTACCGACAATAGTACCTGAGTATAGCTAGAGAGAAATGGTGCCCTACAATAAGGTTGCCCTCAATAGTCACTCAGTGTTTTACAAACAAAACACATCAAGATTTGCATTACATAAAAAGCAATCTCAATTCTCAATTTATGACCACCATGATACAATTTTATGTATGATAATGATCTTCATTTTGTGCTGAAATTAACAGTAACATAAAGGCAGTACTGCAAAATATAAATAGTTATCATCAAAAGCCTTCAGAAAGCTTGAAAATTTGACTTACACTAGATTTTTAGTTCAACACAAACTGACTTGAAAACATAAGTAATGAAAACTGTCCTATACGTTATGCTAGGTTTGTACAGTTTAGGCCAGATTTACTTGTGAACAAAAATTAGTTTGGATTGAGATTCTTGTTTTTAGAGTTTCAAACTCACCTTATCTCCAGCTGAGGCCTGAACCTGTACATGTAGATGTGACCATAGTTCCTCAGTTCAGAAGCAAACTCAGATGCCAAGGTCTCATGAAGAGAAGATGGGAAGTATCGCAGGGCATTCTGAAGGGCCAGCTGTAAAATCAAGATTCATTATTTCACTCCATTTCAAAAGTATGTGATTTTGGGATATATATATATGGATCTTAACAAAGAATATTGCCTTTCTTTCGTGGTATATCAGATATACCATTCAAGGGCAGCCAATATTATATAAGGTAAGGTAATTAGGTAAGGTATTTATTCATCAAAATATCGCAGCCAATGGCTGAATTACATGCATGATTTACAAAAATTTGATTAAAAAACATCATATTTACAATTCATTATTTAACAATAATGCAAGATCATTATAAAAAAAATTACTGCGTAAAAAACATTAGAAGCATGTGGATATGAAAACAAATTAATATTAGGCAAGAGTATAAAGCACAAAGGGAAGAAAAAAGTAGGAAAACTGTGGAGCAGGAAAATAACTCCAGTCATCGCACTAATCACCATCTTCTACCCCGCAATCTTTGAAAAAGATAAAATTATAATCCCATCATGATCAACTTCAGTCCCTTCCCTTTGCCTGTGAATGTAGAGTTGATGACAGATTATACAATTGAAATTAGTGACATATGTAGGCATGTAGCACAAATTATCTGTCTAAAATAATCGCAACAATTTTATGAAGAGTGTCACCTAAAATAATATATCAACTTCATATCCATTCTCAAAATATCTAGTTCTCAGTAGACAGTCATACCAACAAGATTTAAAATAATTACAGACCAACCACCTGTGACAATTTAATTGACTCGCTACCCTGAATGGACAAGATCTTTTTAAATTTATGATGGTCAGTTTAGCAGTGAATTTTGAATTGGTCACTGAAACTGTCATAAACTGACAGATCACTATTGATGATGAGTGTGAGTGGTGTGGTCACTGACATCGGGAGAAAGTTTTGGGTGCTAAACATATGCATTTAATATATAACAAATTTAATTAAAAATACCTTTACAGATTATTTGGAATAGCAATTGTAATGTTCCGCAGGTATATACTGCAAGCTATGACAGGAATTTCACACACATTGCATGCTTGATGCCTTGAAACAGAATGTAGAGATCAAATAAAGTCTTTTCCTGAATATCCTGGTTCAAGATATATCTGTGTCAATGTCAGAACGATAGAGATTTAAAAGCATGCCAAGATTACAAAATAGATCTGTTTAATTAGGCTTACTTTTTTAAATAAAGGTAGATCTACTTTATTCATTATTTCTGTCTAATTTTAAATGACTAGATCTAATTGTAATTTCTAAAGTGTGTTATCCATATCCATTGTAAGTAGATAATGTATTGAGTATCTCTATTGAACTCTACCCCCATATTACACTTAAACACATGTACAGTATGCAACCGTATTGTTGTTTTGTGTAGTACTATTACCCGCGTTTCGGAAGCGTTGAGTTCGGTGTTGAGCACTGGAGCATGGGCAACGCTTTCGTCACGGGGGCGCGGCTGGGGGAGTGGATCCAGGGGTAGTCCGTCGCAAAGCTCTTTCAAACTGCCCATTCTTGAGTTTATTTAATCCACCTTCCCTACGATAATGAAATAAAAACAAGGGCTACAGCTTCAAAATGTTGTCGATCACTTGATGATAAAGCCTCGAATTCACTTAAATGTTTTTCGACGTGTAAATCGTCTGCAACCAGATCAACCTCGAAAACCGAGCGACACCTGTTGCTGCGTTACGTCAGAATTGGTACGGTAGCAAGATGGCGCTAATCGATAATTGTTCAGTGAATGATAATAATATCCAAAGAATGCCTGTGAAACAGTTATAGGCCTATACGCCAGCCCCAATGCAGACATTCTCTTCTTCTTAATCTCCAACTAATTATTAATCATGAATCTAATTTCATTATGATAATGATCTGCATGCAACAGTCTGCAGTTGATTAAATTTTAGCCAGCTCGTTTGATTGACAATATCACTACAAGTATATTGTCCTTTCACATAATTCTAGGCTTTTAATATTTCTAGGTAGAAGTTGCCATTTCTGGATATCGAATAATAATATTTGGTCATAGTTACAGTTTAACAGAAGTTTTACGCCACCGAGCAAATCAACTTAATTACACATATCTTTCCATGGAATTTTACTGTCATCCGATCTACAAAGCCATTTTAAACGGAAAACTCAATCGATCAACAGTGATTCTTCCAAATAACATGAGGTTTCTGCTTTTCCAGTTATCCAGGAGTTTCTGTAGTTTGGTCAATTCATTTTCCCAACTCAATTTTGTAGCATAGTATACGTCTGCAGATATAAAATATCCTAAGTATGCTGTTGACCAACTAAGATAGGTCGGAGAGAGACTACCTATAGGCCCTATTTTCTTATTATCTCCAATCCAAAAGAGAACAGATTTTTATTTATTTAATTTCGGGCTTGCGACTTTTCAGAATAAGTCTAATTCATCTACTAGTAGACCTATATTCCTTAGAGAATTTTTATTTTAACATAATATAATAAGGTGTCGTCAGCACACTGTAAAAGTGTAAGTGTAGAGTTGCAACCTTTAAAGGGATAGTTGAGTTCTGTTTTCAGACAGGGGCGTCGCTAGACCTTTTTCAGTGGGGGGGGGGGGGGTGTAGAGGCCAACGATTACCGACAAAAGTAGCCACCAATTACCGACAAAATTAAATTTCCAATATCTACAAAGTCAACCCTATAAACCTGGGGCCGAAGGCTAAATTGTTTTTCCTATGGACTATCTATAGTACTTGCATATGCGCAAAATGGTCATTTTCCTCGACGACATTAATATACGAATTATTTCTTAAATTTAGTCAGCATCATAGCTATATATTTTAATGCAGGCGCGGAGCTATATGATCTTATTTTAGGGAGGGGCGGTAGTGAGCAAGAGAATTACTTAAAAGCGCGCTCATAAGGGGTGTGGGTGATGAGCCTCCCGCGCGAAGCGCGAAAGCTTAGACGTTTCCTTAAATTATTAGGAAAAGAAGACGATTAATTGTACCGTTTTCGACTGGTAATCCTAGGCTGAAAGAAGTTTCCCCCCCCCCCCTCCCGCGCGAAGCGCGAAAGCTTTGACGTTTCATTAAATTATTATAAAAAAAGAAGACGATTTGCTGTACCATTCTCGACTGTTTATCCTTTTCTGAATTCAGTATTCCCCCCCCCCCGCGCAAAGCGCGGAAGCTTTGACGTTTCATTAAATTATGAGAAAAAGCAGACGATTCGGTGTACTGTTCTCGACTCTTAATCCTAATCTGAATGAAGCTTCCCCCTCCCGCGCGAAGCGCGGAAGTTTTGACGTTTCATTAAATTATTAGAGAAAGAAGACGATTCGTCGTACCGTTTTCGATTCTTAATAAGCCCTACTCATCTGAATTCAGTTTCCCCCTCTCGCGCGAAGCGCGAAAGCTTTGACGTTTCCTCATATCATTAGAGAAAGAACACGATTCGTTGTACCATTTTCGACTTTAAATAAGCCCTATTAATTTTGTCTGAATTCAGTTTCCCCCTCTCGCGCGAAGCGCGGAAGCTTTGACTTTTCCTTACATTATGAGAAAAAGCAGACGATTCGGTGTACTGTTCTCGACTCTTAATCCTAATCTGAATGAAGCTTCCCCACCCGCGCGAAAGGCGGAAGTTTTGGTTTTATTTAATTATTACAGAAAGAAGACGATTCGTCGTATCGTTTTCGACTCTTAATAAGCCCTATTCATCTGAATTCAGTTTCCCCCAAGCTTTTACGTTTCCTCATATCATTAGAGAAAGAACACGATTCGTTGTACAGTTTTCGACTTTTAATAAACCCCATTAATTTTGTCTGAATTCAGTTTTCCCCTCTCGCGCGAAGCGCGGAAGCTCTGACGTTTCCTTAAATTATTAGAGAAAGAACAAGATTCGTTGTACCGTTTTCGACTCTAAATAAGCCCTATTAATTTTGTCTGAATTCAGTTTCCCCCTCTCGCGCGAAGCGCGGAAGCTTTGACGTTTCCTTAAATTATTAGAGAAAGAAGACGATTCGTCGTACTGTTCTCGACTCGTCTAAATGAAGTTTTCCCCTTCCGGGGTTTCATCACAATGTAGAGAAAGGAAAACGATTCCTCATACTGTTTTCGAATCTTATTATTATTAAGCCCTATTCATCTGAATTCAGTTTCCCCCTCTCGCGCGAAGCGCGAAAGCTTTGACGTTTCCTTAAATTATTAGAGAAAGAACACGATTCGTTGTAACGTTTTCGACTTTTAGTAAGCCCTATTCATCTGAATTCAGTTTACCCCTCTCGCGCGAAGCGCGAAAGCTTTGATGTTTCCTCAAATTATTAGAAAAAGAACACGATTCGTTGTACCGTTTTCGACTCTAAATGAGCCCTATTAATTTTGTCTGAATTCAGTTTCCCCCTCTCGCGCGAAGCGCGGAAGCTTTGACGTTTCCTTAAATTATTAGAGAAAGAACACGATTCGTTGTAACGTTTTCGACTTTTAGTAAGCCCTATTCATCTGAATTCAGTTTACCCCTCTCGCGCGAAGCGCGAAAGCTTTGATGTTTCCTCAAATTATTAGAAAAAGAACACGATTCGTTGTACCGTTTTCGACTCTAAATGAGCCCTATTAATTTTGTCTGAATTCAGTTTCCCCCTCTCGCGCGAAGCGCGGAAGCTTTGACGTTTCCTTAAATTATTAGAGAAAGAAGACGATTCGTCGTACTGTTCTCGACTCGTCTAAATGAAGTTTTCCCCTTCCGGGGTTTCATCACAATATAGAGAAAGGAAGACGATTCCTCATACCGTTTTAGAATCTTATTATTATTAAGCCCTATTCATCTGAATTCAGTTTCCCCCTCTCGCGCGAAGCGCGAAAGCTTTGACGTTTCCTTAAATTATTAGAGAAAGAACACGATTCGTTGTAACGTTTTCGACTTTTAGTAAGCCCTATTCATCTGAATTCAGTTTACCCCTCTCGCGCGAAGCGCGAAAGCTTTGATGTTTCCTCAAATTATTAGAGAAAGAACACGATTCGTTGTACCGTCTTCGACTCTAAATGAGCCCTATTAATTTTGTCTGAATTCAGTTTCCCCCTCTCGCGCGAAGCGCGGAAGCTTTGACGTTTCCTTAAATTATTAGAGAAAGAAGACGATTCGTCGTACTGTTCTCGACTCGTCTAAATGAAGTTTTCCCCTTCCGGGGTTTCATCACAATATAGAGAAAGGAAGACGATTCCTCATACCGTTTTAGAATCTTATTATTATTAAGCCCTATTCATCTGAATTCAGTTTCCCCCTCTCGCGCGAAGCGCGAAAGCTTTGACGTTTCCTTAAATTATTAGAGAAAGAACACGATTCGTTGTAACGTTTTCGACTTTTAGTAAGCCCTATTCATCTGAATTCAGTTTACCCCTCTCGCACGAAGCGCGAAAGCTTTGATGTTTCCTCAAATTATTAGAGAAAGAACACGATTCGTTGTACCGTCTTCGACTCTAAATGAGCCCTATTAATTTTGTCTGAATTCAGTTTCCCCCTCTCGCGCGAAGCGCGGAAGCTTTGACGTTTCCTTAAATTATTAGAGAAAGAAGACGATTCGTCGTACTGTTCTCGACTCGTCTAAATGAAGTTTTCCCCTTCCGGGGTTTCATCACAATATAGAGAAAGGAAGACGATTCCTCATACCGTTTTAGAATCTTATTATTATTAAGCCCTATTCATCTGAATTTAGTTTCCCCCTCTCGCGCGAAGCGCGAAAGCTTTGACGTTTCCTTAAATTATTAGAGAAAGAACACGATTCGTTGTAACGTTTTCGACTTTTAGTAAGCCCTATTCATCTGAATTCAGTTTCCCACTTTCGCGCGAAGCGCGGAAGCTTTGACGTTTCCTTAAATTATTAGAGAAAGAAGACGATGCGTTGTACCGTTCTCGATTCGTCTAAATGAAGTTTCCCCTTCCGCGCGAAGCGCGGAATTTTTGGCGTTTCATCACAATATAAAGAAAGGAAAATGATTCGTCGTACCGTTGTTGACTCTTTAACCTTGTTTGAATTTAGTTTCCCCGAAAATTTTAAACCTCTGATTTCTTAAGCTGATATTATAGGAAAGTGAAACTTCGAGAAAATACAAGTATTGTAGTTGTAGTCACTCTCGAAGTCGTCACAGCGGATAAGAAGTCGCAGTAGGGAAAAAAAACTTGTCGGCCGACCGACAATATACATCTCACCGACTTCAAACTTATGCATTGATGAGGATCGAGCAAGAATACCGACACAGCTGACCCGACACAGCAACATATTCACCCGTGTCTTTCTTGCTCCCTCGACGAGACGACTCCACCCAACAACCCCCTTTTCTCTTTTACTCCCACTCCTCCTCTCTCAGACTCTTACCTCCCCTCTCTCTCCTCTCTTTCACCCCCCGTTTCTTTTTTTTCTTCTTTTTCCCTTTTCTTTCTTTTCTTTCTTTTCCTTTCTTTCCTCTCCCCCTCTTTTTCTTTTTTCTCTTTCTTTCTTCTCTTTTCTTTCCTTTCTTTTCCTTTCTTTCCTTTCTTTCC